CCGAGCGCTGGACCAAAGAGGTCGGTATGGCCTCCGCTCACGGCATCTCTTATAACTATAACGAACCGAAGCACTCATTCAAATACATTTCCAATACTGTCACCAAATATCGGGTCTCGAAATTCAAGCAAAACAAAACACTGTTTCAAAGATTTGGTTTCAAAGCATAGCCACTAATATTTTGCGGCGATTTAGGCATCACTTTCTTAGAGAGCAACAAATGTTATAGTTTTTGTGATAATTATTTGTAATATTGTTTACAAAAACAATAATTCAATGTTTGATGTTTGGGATGAGATGGGAGTCGAGTCCAGCGAAAAGCATCCATTGTTTTAATTAAGCACTCGGGCTGTTTGGCCACTCATTGGCCACCCATTGGCCCACAACTGCTTACCCCCTGTCGTTGTCTTAATATCAATGAAACTGACGAAGAATATAAAAAATATGTGATGAAACAGAGGGTGTGTTCAAAATGTTAGTTTCAATCATATCTTTGTATATATCATAAATGTTTTATGAATTACTTATTATAGAAATTTTATTTCATAATTTGTTAAAATATTTGGACTTTGAAAACATTAAATGATAAATAAAACAATAAAATAATTGTTGACTTAATTATAAAAGTGGGCACATCAAATTCTTTTTGTGCCTATTTTGACACGACCTCGCACAGCTAGGGTGACCTCGGCACTCATCGTACGCTTCATTGTTTTTGGTACAGGTCTGGCCTAATTATTGGATTCAGTTATACATTAAGAATTCACTCATGGTGCAATTGCAATTATGCATTTGTACATACCCTCCATTTTAACCAAATTTTCGTTCAAAATAATTACAATTAACATAAAAACTATAAGAAATTTCATGTTTTCTGTTTTGTCGATTTGTAAAACAAATGTGTTATCACTGATTAGTGATTATTAACTTACAAACGAAATATGAAATTTTATTTTAATTATTTAATTTTAATTAATAAAGAGGTTTGTTCATACATAATGCTCACTAAACCGAAAATTTTATTATTTTTAATTTATAATAATAATGATTATTGTCATTATAATTAAACTTTATTCAAATGGACTAAAATTAATTTGTTATATGTCATAAATAAGTTATTTATTGATTTAAAATAACATACAAAATTGACAGTGAATTTCTTATATAACATTGATATAACTTTTGTAATTGATGTCAGAATTAGGAAATGCTTTTTAAATATATAGTGAACTTTCGATATAATGACTTATACAATTAGCATCAATTATGGTACAATTATAAATATGCATTTCTACGTACCCTCAATGTTGACCAAGTATTGATTTAAAATAATTACAATTAACATAAAAACTATAAATCCCATACTTTAAGTCCGCGTTCAATACAAACATATCTTTATTATAACTGAAATTTTTAAATTTACAAATCAAACTCTGAATAAAGAAATTATTTGTTTTATTTGATATTATTTTTACTGAATCGGAGTTTCGTTAATAGTTAGAGTATTTTTGACAAGGTAGCATTTATTTACGAGTGTCCCTGGTGTCTTTTAGGGACCCGACGGCTGGATTGTTGTCATTGTGTTCAATAAAAGTGAGGACACATTGGAGTTCACAATGAAAGGACATTTGTCGAGAGGGACACATTCGCCCGTATTTTTATTTCTTATATAACCTTTCTTACAATAACATTGATGGAAACACGCGGCTATACATCCCATTCTTCTCCATTTATGTCTGTTCTGACACGTCTTCTCACACGTCCCGCAATCGTTGTACTCTTCATTGCTTTTCGTACATATTGTGCCTTATTATTGCATTCAGTTATACAATTAGAATTTAATCATGGTACAATTAGAATTATGCATTTCTACTTACCCTCAATGTTAACCAAGTTTTTGTTCAAGATTACAACCTTGGGACATTTACTAGGAGAGATACATTGACCACTCTCTTCATCTCGAATATAACCCTCTTTACAATAACACCCGTCCGTACAGACGGCGGCGCACATCAACCCCTTATCCTTGTTTTGACACGTCTTCTCACACGAACCGCACGAATTGTGCTCTTCATTGCTTTTCGTACATATCGTGCCTTATTATTGGATTCAGTTATACAATTAGCATTCAATCATGGTACAATTATAATTATGCATTTCTACATACCCTCAATGTTGACCAAGTATTGGTTTAAAATAATTACAATTAACAGAATAACTATAATAAATTTCATGTTTTTGATTTTTGTCAAATTTTCCGCAAATGTGTTATCAGTAGATGTAAAAAGTATTGGATTACAAATAAAATATAAAATTTAAATAATTAATTGCATTTTATTTATAAAAAATACAATAGTTCTAAAATTATTTTAGTCAATCCATGTTAAATATTGTGGATTCTTAAACATGAGGGTCCCTTATTTGGGACATTTATTAGGAGATACACATTGCCCGCTCTTCTCATCTCGAATATAACCCTCTTTACAATAACACCCATCCTTACAGACGGCGACGCACACCAACCCCTTATCCTTGTTTTGACACGTCTTCTCACACGAACCGCACGAATTGTGCTTTTCATTACTTTTCGTACATTTTGTGCCTTATTATTGGATTCAGTTTGCATTTAATCATGGTACAATTCTAATTATGTATTTCTACTTACCTTCAATGTTGACCAAGTATTGGTTTAAAATAATTACAATTAACAGAATAACTATAATAAATTTCATATTTTTGATTTTTGTCAAATTTTCCGCAAATGTGTTATCAGTAAATATGGTATTGGATTACAAATAAAGTTGTAACAAAGTGTAAACAAATTTGAACATGCATTAAAATAATTAATTGCATTTTATTTATAGAAAATATAATAATTCTAAAATTTATTTTAGTCAATCCATGTTAAATATTGTTAGTCATTAAACATGAGGGTCCCTTATTTGGGACATTTATCAGGAGAGACACATTGCCCGCTCTTCTCATCTCGAATATAATCCTTTTTACAATAACAGCCGTCCTTACAGACGGCGGCGCACATCATCTGCTTATCCTTGTTTTGGCACGTCTTAGCACACGAAGAACCGCACGAATTGTGCTCTTCATTGCTTTTGGTACATGTTTTACCTGATTATTGGATTAAGGATTTGTAGTATTTATTAATTATTGCGCTCATTATAATTATAAAATTACGTACCGGTAACAGTATTGAAGCATTCATTCACTACAATTGCAAATACTAACAAAATTACAATGAATTTCATATTTTATGGTTTTATCAGTTTAGGTCTCAAATGTAATTTCAATGAATATTCTATACGCTATGAAATGAGATAAATTATTGCATTTAATTATAAAATACTAATTTGTACATGTTATTTATTCAGCATAAAACAAGCTGCACTATTTTGTACATACATAGCATAACTGTGTTAACGATATAATTTTAATATAATGTGTCCTTAATGTATGACTATAATCATCTTAATTTACATCATTTATTCAGTTTGATATAAACATGCATACTTTACAATGTATTTATTTACTGTTATGTTTTGATTATTTGACAGTTGGTTAAAGATAAAATTAAAAAAGTATACAGTATTGACTAATTAATTAATATTATTACAATATAAAACATAATTTTAAAATTATTTAGTCATCAGAGCTCATCAGTAATCATTAACTGCATTTTTAAAACATAATGAACAGGGTATTACTGCTTTAAGAACAAATATGAACTGTTTAAAAAGTGATTTAATTATCATTTATAAAAATGTTTTAATATTGCAATATTTATCAGTTATTTATTTAATCTTATAATGAAATTACTTTATAGAGTATACATGTTTGAAATCACGTCTAAATTATGTTCATAACAATCAGTTATTAATTATATCAACATTTTATCCTAAATTATAATGTTTTGCACAAATAATGCATAAATAATTGAGACGATTATAATCATTACATATTAAATAGTGGCTCCACTTCTTCTCATATCATATTTACAATTAATTTTTGTTTTCTTTACACAAAGACATCAGTTCTTGAAAATAACATTAGTGTTAAATAGCGACTTTTTTTTATCTAAATTAAGATTATTATAAAAACAATTAAATTATAATCAAAAATTTTATTACATGTTTTAGACTAAACTGCACTTTAGATAATTAATTGCAAAATTATGTATTAATATGCAATAAAATGCAGGATCTAAATAATAATGTGGTCTAATTATTTAAATAAATATGATCGGATGGTAAATCAATCAATTTAGTTTTACCCACATCAGACAATTACATATAGCACTGCAATAATTTATGTAATATTTTAGCTAATTTTAATTATTATTTGCTATATTTGTCGCAAACATTACAAATTCATTGTCTCTGAGAGACCCGACTGTGCGCTTGTCATGAATCATGATTTGGTCAATATTGTCAACTAATTTGTTTAATAACTTTCACGCGTGTTATTAATCATTTCCGTACATATCTATATCTATCTTAATTAGAGTAATTCTGGAAATTTTATACACTTAATTATTTTATTTACATTATTTTAATATAAATTGTTACTTTTTATCACAATTACTAATTAACAATGTTTTTGTAATTAATCTAAACTTTTATTTTCAGAAAATTTTCCATAATATTTGTAAGAAAATGAATTACAATAAAATATTTATCAATTTATGAATGAATTGAAAGTAATTTAAGTAAAAATAAAATTGCAATTAAATAACAAATCACATGAGATTCTGGAATTCCAGGAATTTATTGAAAGTATTTAAAAACAAATAAAAATTTCAACGGAATAAACAAGAAATACATTAATTATAAGAAAATATTTTAATGACAATCAAAATACCCATTAAATTGTGTTTATCTATAATGAAAACCAAAGATATAACCAATTATTTGACTCACACTCTGTTTGTTTCACAACTGATTTTATGGTAATAGAGATAAAATACATTTAAAATATAATCTAATTTATTAAATGATGCCTTTTATCACCCCTTTATAATTCAGAGTATTGTGAAATCATTTGATATGTCATTGTTTACAATCAAAAAATAACATTTGATTAGATTATTATATTATGAAATATTGTTGTTATTATTGTTTTGTTTAGTTTTTATTCTGTTTGAAAGTTTTTCCTAAATAGAGTCCATTGACATGAAAATTATATTTTTTTGTATACAATCATAAACTAATTAAATGTAAATAAATGTGAGACAATGTAAACAATTAAAGCGCAAACCCCTATTTGTAAAACAGTAATAATAAGACTCTTTTGTCTCAAAAATTAATTAACTTTCGTTTATTACGAGACAAACCTTTGATCTTATTTTTAACCATTGGTTTGCTTTCAGATCAAAAGTGTAATC